ACTGAAAATATAAAAGTTAAGTGCCACAAACAATTAAAAATCTAAGCTAGATGATGGTTTTCTTTCAAATGTAACGATTTAGCAATAGACATCACAATCCAGTTCAGTCCAGACAAACAATGAATTAGACGACATATTCAGTGTTATTTGACAAAGTGAGAACTATCAGGAATTTAAAGTCAATTTGAAGTCAATTTAAAATTTAAGGACAAAATAGTTGCTTTGCAAAACATTCTCAAAGTCAGTTCAGAAACGTTGTCCTTAAGTTTGAAACTCACTTTCAATTCACTTGGAACTCCCGGCAATTCTTTCTTTAGCAAATTAACCTGATTGTCTCTTGTTCTTAACCTATCATATTGTTTAAAGAAAGAAAAGGTCAGAACTTATAACATTGATTGACAGGGAGACAAGATAGAGCCATTCAATTCCAAGAAAGATCGAAAAGCAGTGTGCTTTTATGCATTCTGAATTTTATTTTTCAGACTTCACAAACACATATTTGTTAAATACAAGGAGATAAGTAAACTTAACATGAAAAATTCTGGGTAGAGAAATTCCTACTTTAAATGAGACACACAATGATTATCTTTAAAATACTGAGTTGCTCTATACCTGATGTACTCGGGCTATATAATTTTTATGTTTTATGTCAATGAAGGGCAATGATATCATCAAGTGTATAACATGAGTTTCATCTGACCATTAATACCGATAACAGACCCAGCAAGAGTGCGTTGCACAAAATTGACACTTGGTTATGATCACACCTCGGCTCTTAAAATCTTTATAGCAATGATTGCTTTTTCTTGTTGACAACTTTGCATAAAGAAGTTATAAGACAGACTGCCATATACAGCTCATAAAGCCGAACGGAGAGAAGCAGAGATTGACTGTTACTCTATATCAAAACCAGGCTAAGATAGGATTATGATGCAACTACACTTGCCTCCGCGTAATAAAACATTTTTATTTTACCTGCAAAGTCTATATACTTTTAGTATGAGGCAGAGAAAGGTTATTTAAAGAAAGAAAACAAAAACTACTTGACGTGCATTCACTAAACAGTAAAATGCGTCAGTTGAAAGCCAAACTGCAAAATTGAGGTTAGATTAGGCAAGCTGTAGGGGTTATACCTGAGTTGTAGAATTTTTTGAACTTGACTCCATTTTTTCAGTTTGGTTTTCAATTCACTGCAGTTGATTGTTTTGTGTATAGACTATTTGGCTTTCAGGTTCAGTAACTTTTGGGACATTTATTTTTCACCCACTACGGAGCTGAATTATGCTCGCTATAAATGGCTTCTTTGTTATGTAGGAAACTAAGAAATTATTACATGGATATGGAAGTATTGAGAAACATGCATTTCATACATTGTACTGCAGTGGGAAAGCCTTGGATTTTACAACAATCAGGAAATCAGGCGAGAACAATAGTGGGTAGAGACCAACAATAACTACTCGATTAACCTCTTAATATTCCCATGATGGAAACACTCCATCGTTTCTGTCTGCTATAAAATGCAAACTCTAGCCATGAAAAATAAGAAAATCATCATATTCCATAACTTTACATATATATGCAGATACTTTTATTTCATAAGATCTACCAACATTTTGACATTAGTGTAATTTTAAGCTCACACTATGCAGAGGTATAATTGGAGGTTTTGATCAGCGCAGGGTGGACTTTTTAATGATTTATTTAGCATCTATTTTGCCAGGTAGAAACACTTGCAATGCTGCTTTTCGGGGTATGATGATCCTCTTAGCCCCTGCTCTTGGACACTTGCTGTCATTGTACTTTGACCACTTGTCCATTACCCTTCTTCCTTTGGTCTCTTACTCACAATCACATCAGCCTTCACATCTCTCACTCTTGGTGACAACTTCTCTGCTCTGTTCCCAGATCTGCTACCAGTGACACAATTCCTTTAACTTCATTCTCCAGATCACATGTCCAGGTCTAGCACCATAAGTGCCACTAATTCTTTTTGTCAATTTAGAATCCCATTATCCTTAGTCTTCTCAATGCATATGACTCTTACCCATAGTGGCAAGGACACTTACCCTCAGCCAGCCATGGCCAATGTCTCTTACCCTCAGCCAGCCATCACCAAGGTCTCTTACACTAAACCAGCCATGGTCAAGGTCTCTTCAACCAGTCTGTCGATGCTCATCATCATATCCAGAGGTTGTCTTTGAGAAATAGACGTAGGAGTGCTGCCAACATTGCTGCAGAGGTTGAAGGGGTTGGGGGCCAGCCTGTCAGTGCTCAGACCATACACCACACACTGCATCAAATTGGTCTGCAGAAGGAAGCCTCTTCTAAAGATGATGCACAAGAAAGCTGGCAAACAGTTTGCTGAAGACAAATAGACTAAGTACATGGATTACTGGAACTATGCCCTGTGGTCTGATGAGACCAAGATAAACTTGGTGTCAAGCGTGGGTGGGGGCAACCAGGTAAGCAGTACAAAGACAAGTGTGTCTTGCTTACAGTCAAGCATGGTGATGAAAGTGTCATGGTCTGGGCCTGCATGAGTGCTGCCAACACTAGGGAGCTTCATTCATTGAGGGAACCATGAATGCCAACATGTACTGTGACATTCTAAAGCAGAGCATGATTCCCTCCCTTCAGAGACTTGGCTGCAGGGCAGTATTCCAACATGATAATGACCCCAAACACACCTCCAAGATGACCACTGCCTTGCTAAAGAAGCTGAAGGTAAAGGTGATGGACTGGCCAAGCATGTCTCCAGACCTAAACCCTATTGAGCATCTGTGGGGCATCCTCAAATGTAATGTGGTGGAGAGCAAGGTCTCTAACATCCACCAGCTCCGTGATGTTGTCATGGAGGAGTGGAAGAGAGTTCCAGTGGCAACCTGTGAAGCTCTGGTGAACTCCACGCCCATGGGGGTTAAGGCAGTGCTGAAAAATAATGGTGACCACTAGTGATGTCCCGAAAGGTTCGCTGAACGGTTCGCCACGAACGGTTCGCCACAGACTCATCATTGAGTAAACTTTGACCCTGTACCTCACAATCAGCAGACACATTCCAGCCAATCAGCAGCAGACCCTCACTCCCAGCCCCTCCCACTTCATGGACAGCATCCATTTTACATTCATTGTGAAGCTGCATTCTTAGTGAGCTGTCCAGGAGGTGGGAGGGTCTGGGAGGGAGGGTCTGCTGCTGATTGGCTGGAATGTGTCTGATGACTGTGAGGTACAGGGTCAAAGTTTACTCAATGATGAGTCCGTGGCGAACCGTTCGTGGCGAACCGCTCGGGACATCACTAGTGACCACACAAAATATTGACACTTTGGGCCCAAATTTCCACTTAGAAGTGTACTCACTTTTCTTGCTAATGATTTAGACATTAATGGCTGTGTCAAATAAATACAGTTGGTGAGAGCACACAGAACTCAAAAAATATATATTACCCCCAGTAGAGTTACTCTCTGAAAGAAATACAGAAAAATAACATAGGGTAATAACGTAATAAACAATAAAATAATGTATGGATAATATGCACTCACATACGAAGAGCCAATTACAAGCTGGCTCACACTGAACGCCTGGAAATAGAATACTCCTCAGGACTGGGGCAGACTTCCACTGGGCTCTTCCCAAAGAAACAGGAACGCAGGTTCAAGTTCAAGCTTAACTTTAATAATTATAAAAAAATAAATAAACAAGGAAAGTCCCATAAAACACTGTAAATAACAAGTCCCAAAATGTCCTTTGTATTTCATTAATGGCTGTGTGTTGAGTTTTTTTTAGGGGACAGCAAAGTTACACAGTTATACAGGCTGTACACTTACTACTTTACATTGTAGCAGAGTGTAATTTCTTCAGTGTTGTCACATGAAAAGATATAATAAAATATTTACAAAAATGTGAGGTGTTTCTTCACTTTTGTGGGAAAGATACTGTACTTTCCCAGTCACAAAAGTTAAGCTCACGGGTCTATAATTTCCAGTAAAAGTGTTTGAACTCTTTTTGAATATAGGAACATCAGCCTTCCTCCAACCCTGAACAATTCCCAAAAGAAAATAACCCTGAAAGATTAAAAACAGAGGTTCACTTTTTTCCACACTTAGCCCCAGAGCTTTGTTTACATTAACTTTCTTTAGTTGCTGCAGTACCTTGTCTTGAGTCATCCAATTATTTTCTGCATGTTTTTTTCCGCAATCCATTGCATATCTCTTGCCATAGGTATATCCTTAATATATTCTGAGGAAAAATACTTATTTAACATTTCTGCCTTTTGATGGTCTTCATTAACTAACATATCCATATCTGTGTTCATTGTATCCACACTTTAATTTTTTTTAGAACTTTTCTAGTTTAGCACATCTAATCACATTTTTTTTTTTTTAATTCTTTATTTTTGATTCGACACAGAATGCGGCATAGCAAAATACAGCGGCTCACGCAGGGGCCGATTACAAGACAGTGTTACTTATCTTTCAACAGTGGTTAAGTGTTTAATAGGTTAGGAGATATTGGTTTTTGCCGCTCTGTGTCGGTTTTTATATTGGGGGGCAGTTTTTGCCCGTATAGAAAATACAAAAAATACAAAAAATACAAAAAGTACAAAAAACACAAAAAACAAAAAACGAGGAGCACAACAGTGCAACACAATAAGTTGAATACAATAATCTCTAAGTGTTTAATACAGGTTCCACAGCGCTTTTAAACCGACTCACATTGGGTACATTGAGTCTATTTTCGCTGTTCTGCGTGTGGCAGTACTGATTTATGTGGTGTCGGTTATGTGCTCTGGACAATGTCGTGAGACCGTCAGCGTCGTGTCATGGTGGGTTTGCTATCGGTTTGGAGTTGCGTCCATCGGCTACATTCAATGTTGGCCCGTCCCGTGAGCCATCCCAAGTCGGGGTCTAATTTGGACGCGGATAAAGGTGCCCTGTCGTCGTTTCTTGTGGCCGTGGGTGGTTTCGTGGAGAGGCCCTAGTGACGGGTCGAGCGTTGTCAGTGGTCACTGTGCTGTGCTTTGTAGCCGTAATAGTAGTTTGTAGCTGTAGTATAACTGGTTGGTTTGGTATTTGTGTGGGTTCTTCCTGGTGTCTGACTGGTAGTGTTTTGGGGCCTTGTATGCGGCTTTTACTGTCATCCCCCGATCTCCCTGTCTAAAGGTGGAGGGGGGGGGAGGGAAGGGGAGCGCTGTTCGCTGGGGCGTGCGGCAGATCCAGGCCCTTCCGAGGCCTCTGTCCTTATCCTGCTTATGTAGGTTTAGTCGTCGAGATAGTTTTCCCAAGGTTGCCATATTTTATGGAATGTTTTCTCCGTGTTCCTAATTTGGGCTGTGAGTTTGTCCATCAAGTGTGTGTCTTTAACTTTAGCTATCACGTCTTCGTCTGTGGGTAATGTGGGCTTAAGCCACGCCTGGGCTAGAGCCCTTCTGGCCGCTAGAGTGATTTTATTATAGAGCTGTTGTTCTTTTCTAGGGAGGCCGTCTATGGGTTTGGACAGAAGAACCGTCCATGGGTCTAGATCTATACTGTTCTTTAGCACGTCAGTTAGTAGTGTCTGTATGCGCTTCCAGTATTTGTTTAGTTCTGGGCATTCCCACCACATGTGCACAAAGGTGCCTTTACCACCGCAGCCCTTCCAACATGTGTCTGTCGTGGTTTTCCCCATTCTGTGTAGCTGCACAGGTGTGGTGTACCATCTCATGAGCATTTTATATGACTGTTCTTGGTGCAGTACACAGATTGAGGTTTTAGCTGTCGCCTCCCAAATGTCCACCCAGTCCTCTCCTTCCAGTGTCACCCCCAGGTCCGCCTCCCATTGGCCAATGTAACGTGGGTCTTTAGCGTCTTTACTTGGGGCGCTGAGTTGTGCGTATATAGTAGTTATTAAGCCGTTTTGTACGGTTTCGGCATTACATAGTTGTTCATAGAACGTCATAGGGGTGTGGGCAGCTTTTCTGACTTCCGGGGTTTTGGCGAAGTCTCGTAGTTGGATATGGCGAAATACATCTTTTGTGGTCAGGGGCGCTAAGGTTTTCAGGCTATCGAACGTTCTGAAGGAGTCCCCCTCATACATATGGCCATATCTCTGCATCCCCGTACTCTCTATGCCCCTAAAGTCTCGTGCGCTCAGCCTGGGTTCAAACGCTTTATTCCTCAGATACGGGGTGAGTGGTGAAGGTGTGTGTTTAAGTGCGTATTTGGTGGCTGTGTTGTCCCAAATTCGTATGGAATTTAGGATTGCTGGGCAGGTGGTCCGTAGGGCAGGTCTGTCTTGTCTGGGTACCCATATCCAGAATTGTGGGAGATCGGTGCTCATTAATTTCGTTTCCAGATCGACCCATCGATGTGAGCCTTCTGGTGCGTGCCAAGCCACTATTTGGGCTAATTGAGCCGCTAAGTAGTATTGATACAGGTTTGGGAGTCCTAATCCTCCCTTTGATTTCGGTCGGTATAACACTTGCCTAGCTACTTTGTGTTGTTTCTGTGCCCATATAAAGTTATCTATGCGTCTTTGCAGCGTCGTTAGGTCCTGTTTAGTGACTTTGATCGGCAGGGCTTGGAATAGGAACAGCAAGCGAGGTAGCAGTGTCATTTTTATCGCGTGTAATCTCGCTATCCATGAGATTGGCTTGTCTTGCCATTTTTCTAAGTCCTGGCATAGTGTTTGTAATGTGGGTGTGTAATTCGCTTCATACAGTCTCTCCGGGTCTGCCGTTAGTTTAATCCCTAAATATTTGATGTCAGTTCTTGTAAAGTTGAGGGAGTGGTTAGCTTTTATGGCATTGATCTCTGCCGTCTCCATTTCTAGTGGCATGGCCATTGATTTATCTAAATTAATTTTATAGCCCGATACCCGTCCGTAGTCCTCGAGGAGGTCGAGGAGGCATGGACAGGGAACCCCGAGGGTTGGCAAGTGTGACCATGATGTCATCTGCATATGCAGAGACTTTGTATTCCTCCCCTCCTGCCCTAATGCCCGTTATGTTCCTATCCTCCCTTATCCTCAGTAGAAGAGGCTCCAGTGCTAGGACAAACAACTGGGGGGAAAGGGGGCAGCCCTGTCTGGTGCCGTTGGCAGTCTTGAACGGGGTCGGAGCTGTCCCCAGCACCGCCGTTTGGGCTTGTGGTTCTGTGTACAGGGCTTTTATTCCCTTTATGAATGTTTCTGGCATACGCAGGTGCCCCAACAGTGAGAAGAGGTAGTGCCACTGGACCCTGTCGAATGCCTTCTCCGCATCCAAGGATAGGATCAGAGAAGGCGTCCGAGTCCTCACCGCCTACCATATGACATCCGCCCCCCTCCTGGTGTTTTCGTATAGTTGTCGAGATGGTACGAAGCCGACTTGGTCTGGGTGGACCAGTGTACCCAGGAGGGGATTGAGACGCGTCGCTAGGATTTTTGCAAACACCTTAACATCAAAATTAATCAATGAGATAGGCCTGTAGTTCCCGGCCTCCGTAGGATCTTTACCTGGTTTTGGGGATGAGGGTGATATCTGCCGTAAGTGTTTCTGGATTAGGGTGTCCCCCGTCCATCCATTCCATGTATACCTTCACCAACCTTGGGGTCAATGTGTCTCTAAGGAGTTTATAGTAGGAGCCATCGTAGCTGTCTGGGCCCGGTGCCTTGTTCCCTTTGAGTGCTGTGATTGCCCTATCTACCTCGTCCCCCTCTATCTGAGCTCCCAGAGTCAGTATGGCTTCTGGCGTCAAACTCTTCATATGGGTATTGGATACATAGTCTGCGACCGTTCGTTTGTATGTCTCATTGTTGCTATTTAGTTCTGGGGAGTGGTTATAGATGTTTGCTAGGAGCTCCGAGAATATTTGATTAATTTCCTTGGGGTTATGTGTCATCTGTCCCGATTTGTCCCTAATCGCCGTTATGGCCTTGAATTGTTGTTTGGGGTTTAGGGCCCTGGCTAAGAGGGTGTCCATCTTATTAGAGCGTTCGTAAAAAAGGCGTTTTTTTACGGACTAGATCCTTCCCCAGGTCTTCGATCGCCAAGGTTCGGATCGTATGTCGAAGTGCCCGAAGGTCTTGCAGACCCTGTGTCGAGGGAGTTTGTTTGTGCTTGGCTTCTGCCCTCCGTAGCGCCTTTTGGAGCTCGAAGAGGGTTTCCGCCTTCAGTTTTTTCCGTCGAGTCGCTAGTTTGATGAGGGTGCCTCGGATGACCGCCTTGTGGGCGGCCCAAATGGGTCACCTCCGGCCTGTCGTTCTCATTAAAGTAGGTTGTTAGTTCGTCCTGGATGAGCTTTGTCACCTCAGGGTCTTTGAAAAGTGTGCTGTTCAATCTCCATTTCCACGGGGGCCTGGGCCCCGGGAGTCATAAAATAAGCTCAATGTCCGACCACGTGATGAGGTTAATTCGTGCAGATTGGATCCATGGGATCCCTCTCTGGTTGACCAGGAATATGTCTATACGGGAGTATGTGGAATGTGCCGCTGAGAAGAATGTATAGTCTCTCTGTCCCGGGTGCCGCAACCTCCAGGGGTCGAGCAATTTCGTTTTGTGTATGAACTGGGATAGTAGTTTGTCTTGTCCCCTGGCCCTAGGTGTTCTCTGGCCCCCTGTCGGTGAGCTACGGTCGACTGGTGGGCTGGAAGTTGCGTTCATGTCGCCCCCCAGCACTATTATTCCGTATGGCAGCGCGTGTATCCGGTTGTGTAGGTTTCCCAGAAGTCTGGGTCCGGGTGGTTGGGTGCGTAGATGTTAATCAGATGGTATGTGGTGGTGTATACCGTCCCGGTGAGGATGATGTACCGACCCATCGTGTCAACTTGTGTCGTTTGAGTGACAAAGGGGCATTTTTTGTGCAGGAGTATTTCTACTCCGTTTTTCTTCACCAGTGCTCTGGAGGAGTATGCCCTGGTGTAGAGGTGGTCAGTTAGCTGAATCCGGGCTGAGCGCAGTATATGTGATTCTTGTATGAAGGCTATGTCTGTTTTTTGCCGCTTTAGTTCTCTCATTAATAGACGCCGTTTAGTCGGTGTGTTAAGGCCGTTAACGTTTAGGGAGGTTAGTTTAAGCGTGGCCATAGTCTGCCCAGGTCCCGCCCGATGTGCGGTTGTTGGGGTCAGGTTTATCCGCCGCACGCCCCCGCGAGGAGCGATGCGTGAGGGTCAGCAAGCGAGGGAGAGTTATCTCTAAGTCTGGGTAGGGTAGGGGGGGGATCCTCCCCGGGGAGGTTTTGAGGGTTAAGGAAGAAGGGGAGGGGGTTGTGACTATCCCCGGGGGAACGCGAGCTCTCGGTTCCCTCAAGGATCCGTGGGTTCTGGGAGGCCCGTGTAGTGGGGGGGGGGGTGCAGGGTGTGGTGGGGGTTCTCCCCGGTCTTAGTCGCGCCGGGTGTATCGGGGGGTGGCTATCCGCCCCGCGGGTACTATGTGTAGCGCGGAGGGGACAATCAGCCGCCGAGCACCCTGTCGCCGATCCGAGTGAAAGTTTCCATATACATATACGTCAGTTCCCTATGAGGTTGTGGGGTCTGTGTGTCCTCTCATGTCAAGTCACGTGTGTGCAGAGATAACAGCATTATATTATACGTACAATCATTACATTACTTTGAACAATCACAGATGTGCAACATTAAAGAGATAGAACATAGAGGTTGTATCTTTCTTTCCCGTCCGTTATCATTTTCTGTATATGTTGGAGATTAGAACAGAGGCAAGAGAGAAGAGCAGGGGAGAAGCATAATACCAAAGAGAGAGAGAGAGAGAGAAAGAGAAGGAGGGGGGGGAGGGAAAGGGATGTACACTTGCGTGGCAGGTAGTGTCAGCGATGTTCCCGATCATCTGGTTCGTTGCCTAGTGGCTTGGGGTTACACTGTGGTTCCAAGTCCCTTTCCCTGGTAGTCACCAGTGCTGTCCTGGTTATAGACGTTCTTTGGTATGGTTAGAGTCCGTAATGCTGCGTTGAGTGCTCTTTAGTCCAGTATAACACCTCATCACGGTGTGTTAAATCCTCTTTCTTATTGCTCCGTCGTCTCCGGTTCAGCCTTCCGATCGAGGTGTGCGTGTTAAGGTTTTTTTTTTTTTTTTTTCATTTTCCCCCCTCCATCCCTCCCCCCCCTCATAATTTTAGGTTTGCTTTTTTGGTTTTTTACTGAATTTTTTTTTTTTGGGGGGGGAGGATTTTTATGTTTTCTCCTCTGTTTTGTTCAGTGTATGTGGTAGGTAACGTTTTTTTTTTTTTTCCTCTTCTTCTTCTTCCTCTCACCCCCCCATCCCCCTCGCGCCTCTACAGCTCCTCTCAATCCAGGGCTCTATGATTATTCAATTTCCCAGTTGGCATCTGTGTTGTTTCTTTTCCTTCTTTCATTCTTTTTTTGATGGTTGTCGTCTTCCAATTGAGGTGTATTCTCTGCATCAGCGTTTTTCTACGTCGTTGTGTTTTTTCACATTGTCTTCCGTGACTTGGGTTTGTGTCTTAGTTTTTAGGGACTGTTTGGGGGAAGGATTAGGGCGGTCTAGGTCTGTCTAGGTCTGTGTTTAGGAATGTCTTTTGGAGGGGAGGCCTCTGAGGGCCCCTCAGTGTACACCGCCGTCCTGCGCTGCTTCTTCTCTGGGTAGTTGGCCCAATGCTTGTGTACCTCTGTGGGGGAGTCGGAAATCCTCTGGGATTTCTATACCCAAATTGCAGAGGAAGGTTTTAGGGTCCGCTGAGGGCAGAAGTACGTCCGGTCTCGGTCCGTTAAATACTAGCATTTTGAAGGGATGGCCCCATGCGAAGTTGAGGCCTTTGGCCCTGACTAGGTCGGCAATGGCTTTCCATTCCCTTCTCCTGGCTAGTGTGGTGGGTGCTATATCTTGGTATAGGTGTAGTGTGGAGCCATCCAGCGAGTAAGTGTGGTGGCGGGCACTTTTTATGATGGCTTCCTTGGTAGAGAAGAAGTGCCACCGCATTATTACATCTCTGGGGGGGCTGTCAGGAGGGCCTTTTGCTCTTAGTGCCCTGTGTGCCCTGTCTATGGTCCACAGGTGTTCTGGCATGGCTGGTAGTTGCTCTTTAAATAGCCCCAAGAGCACCTTCTGTATTTCTGCGTCTTTTATTCTTTCCGGTAGGCCTTTAACCCTTAAGTTGTTTCTGCGGGACCTATTTGAGGCATCCTCAATTTTGGCTTCTAGTTCAGCCACCCTTATGATGAGGTGGTTGGTGGTGGAGGCTGCTTCGTTGTGTGCCGCCACCACATGGTCCATCCTCCATTCTAAGGCCTCTGTGCGTTGCCCCACTGACTGAATCTCCTCCTTGACTTCCCTTGCAGATCTCTCTATTTCCCCTGCCAGGTAGTGTCTTACCTCTGCCAGGGATTGAAGAATTTCTGCATTGGTTGTCTGTGGAGGTTGGTGCCTGTGCTCTCCGGTGTTCGGGGAGTCCGGGGAGCCCGCGCTCATCTGGCCGCCGCCATCTTTGATTGCATGCGGTCTAGGCGTTGCGAGGAGGTCGGCCACGGACAGGGTACCGTCCTTCGGTTTTTTACCGCTTTTTTTGTGTGTCGCCATCTCCCGGTGTATCCCTCTTGTGGTGAGAGGATTTTGGGAACGTCGGCAGGGATGTATTTGCTTCTTGCATGGCGTTTTGGATCGTGCAGGGCGCAGAGCTCTGAGCTTAAGCAGCCATTACTCTCGGCGGTCCGGCCACGCCCCCTGCCATCTAATCACATTTTTGCATGCATTATTGGTTTTCTTATATCATACAGAATGCCTCTGCTTGTCTAAATAAAATGCTTTAAATGCCCTTTTTTATTTTAAATTTCTTGGTTTACCTTCCCATTGGTTTCAGTTTGTTTATTTTGTATTTATGATCCAATGGTACATACAGAGAAGTGTACCTTTCTAATATTTGTTTGAAGATATGCCATTTATACGCATTTTTTTCAATAAAGAGTTTATGACAGTCAACATGTTGAAAAACTGCCTGAATCTTATGAAAAATGATATGCTTTAATATATTTCCATTTTTAAGTTTATTTAAAAAAACACCATATTGTGATCACTATTTCCCAAATGCTCCCCTACTTGAACATTAGTCAGTAGATCAACATTGTTTGTTGAGATCCAGACAAGCATCCTTTCTAGTAGTTGCTTGTACCAGTTGTGACATGAAGGTGTTTTTCATGTCATTTAACACATTCAAAAACCTGATCTCCTTTGCTGAATTACAGGTCCCTCTATCCCTATTTATGTCCAAGTAATTAAAATCTCCAATAATTAACGTGTTACCCAGATGTGCAACTTTCCCAATTTGTTCTGACAGCTTTTCTTCCTCATCAATATCAACATTAGGTGGTTTATAACACATCACAACAATCATCGATTTCCTTTCTTTTGCCCCAAGCAAAATATCTACCCATAAAGCTTCTACATTTTCCTCATCCCATTCCACTTGCTTAATGTTTTACTTTAACTCATGGTTGACATACAAACATACCCCACCACCTTTCCAGTTGTTTCTATCCTTCCTAAATAATGTGTAACCATTTAAGTTAACTGCCCAGTCATGTGTCTCATCCCACCATGTCATATTGCTTTGTGTATGCTAATACCTCAAGTTCCCCCATTTTGTTATTTGGGCTACTTGCATTAGTAAGCATACCTTTAATATTATCATGAGTCTCTTTTATGTGAATTTTTATTACTTGTATTTATATGAATTTTTATTACTATTACATACCTTCACTTTTCTGAAATTGCCCCTTCATCCCCCTTGCACTGTGCTAAAGCCCATCTCCTTTCTGTCCTATTTTCATTTTGTAGATTTCTATGTTCCTCCCCCTACCTCTAATTTAAAATCTCCTCCAACCTTCTAGCCATCTTGTCCTCCAGCACAGTAGGCCATCTTGTGTTTCGGTGCAATCCATCACAGCTATAAAGATTGTACACAAGTGCAAAATCAGCCGGTTCTCTAAAAAGTCCAAACTCTCCTTCCTAAATCAATACTTTAGAACTGCTTTACCCTCCCTTATCTCCCACTTCCTTTCTATTGCAGAGCACAGCATAGGAAATATTTCTGAATATACCATCTTGGAGGTCTAATTCCTTGTATTTATTCTTTAGGACCCTCTATTTTTCTCTGACTTTCTCAATGGTACCGATATGGACCATGACAGCTGGGTCATCCCCAGCACCTCCCAATAATCCCTCCACTCTGTCAGCAACATGCAGGACCTGAGTACCTGGGAGGCAGCAAACTGTCTGGTTGAGACGATCCGAGTGGCAGATTACCCTATCTACTCTCTTAATAGACTCTCTTACCACCACAACCTGTCTAGCCTTTCTAACATTCTCATCCCCATCCATAATTAACCAGTTGTTCACTTGGCTGTTAGAAGCAACAGCTTCCTCCAGTACAGCTACTCCTGAGCTGATTCTCCCAACATCTTCACTCAAATGGGCAAATCTTTTAGGTTCTGCAAAGTCAGGATTAGCTAAACCTTTCCTCTGCCCACCCCCTGCTACTATGTAATACAGTTACCCAGCTACACGCCTGTTTAAGAACTTTCTTATCGCCTCACAATTAGCTAGAGGCTTCCACTAAACTTTGCTCGGTAAGCAGCAGACCCCCAGAGTGTCAGTCTGTCTCAATGTTGCAATTTGCTCTAGATCTTCAATACGAGCTCATTCAATATTTGTACACATCATTGTACATCATGTTATTAACATTTATTGAATGATGACTATAAACACTAGAAATGGTAGATTTTGCCCAACTCACAGAATATTCTTCTGAAGTTTATTTGCTAAATCATTATGCAAATATAGGTAAATTAAAGCCAAAGTTAAATCCCAAATCATGCTGAATATTTTTATAGTCCTAATTAGTACACAGTATTTAGGCTAGCAATTAGCCCCTATCAAGCCAATTTGAAGTGAAAATAGATGCCTTGATTACAAAACTCATTAGTGAAGAAGTACCTGTCTCCATAACCAGTTCATTTCAAATTCATAAGCTAAATAATGCGAACTGCGTTTACCGCATGTTGTTGATTTATAGAAATAATGATATTAAACCTTCGTAATAATAATGTAAACGGTGCATTCCCAGGAGTTAACCAGCTTGGTATAATATTATAATTTTTTGTTGATTTTATAAACCAATATTTTTCAAGAAACTTAATTTATTGTTTATATATTATGTTGTGAAAAGTTTATTTTTTTTTAATATAACTGTTTTAGGTGTTTTGTTATAATAATTATTAATAATTATATTATTGTTATGGAAAATACTTATCTAATAACCCCCCTGCACACACTGCTCTAAGATTAGTTGGACATTTTTGAAGAGGTTAGTCAAGGAGAGATGCAAGCATAGTCCTATATAGATCACCAATGCAGGTACATAGACATTAATTATTTCACAAACATCTTGAAAATTGGGAATCCCTTTTTAAAAAAATCTAAAAGAAATAAAATGAATGGAAAAACAGACATCAAAGACTGAGGAAAAAAGGAGGAGCTTGGTTTCATGGGAAAAAGCCCTACTGGATAGCTACCGTATATACTCGAGTATAAGCCAAGTTTTTCAGCACATTTTTTGTGCTGAAAAACCCCAACTCGGTTTATACTCGAGTCACTGTCTGTATTATGGCAATTTACATTAATTTACATTGCCATAATACAGACTGGGGGCTGGCAGAGCTGTTACTTACCTCTCCTGCAGCTCCTGTCAGCTCCCTCCTCCTCCGCGCCGGTCCGTGCAGCACCTCGGTCAGCTCCCAGTGTAAGTCTCGCGAGAGCCGCGGGGTCATAGTGCGGCTCTCGCGAGACTTACAGTGTAGCTGACAGAGGAGCTGCACGGACCGGCGCGGAGGAGGAGAGAGCTGACAGGAGCTGCAGGAGAGGTAAGTAACAGCTCTGCCAGCCCCCCTCCTCCCCCCACTGAACTGCCAATGCCACTGGACCACCAGGGAAGGAGAGCCCCCCTCCCTGCCATGTATCAAGCAGGGAGGGGGGACGAAAAAATAGATAAATTAATAATAAAATATTAAAAATAATAATAAAATAAAAAATAATAAAATATTAATAAAACAAAAAAACAATTACAATTATTTAATAAAAATAATAAAATAATAATTAACAAAATATTAATAAAACTAAAAATTATTAAAATAATTAAAAAAATAATAATAAAAATGCCCACCCCCCACCATGGCTCTGTAACACACACAAACACACTGCACTCATACACACACTGCACTCATACACACACACTGCACTCATACACACACTGCATTCATACACACACACTGCACTCATACACACACACTGCACATATATATACACACTGCATTCATACACACACTGCACTCACACACACACACTGCACTCATACACACACACTGCACTCATACACACACACTGCACATATATACACACACTGCACATATATACACACACTGCACATATATACACACACTGCATTCATACACACACTGCACTCACACACACACACTGCACTCATACACACACACTGCACATATATACACACACTGCATTCATACACACACTGCATTCATACACACACTGCATTCATTATATACACACACGGTAAATAAATATTCAATTAATATAATTTTTTTAGGATCTAATTTTATTTAGAAATTTACCAGTAGCTGCATTTCCCACCCTAGTCTTATACTCGAGTCAATAAGTTTTCCCAGTTTTTTGGGGTAAAATTAGGGGCCTCGGCTTATATTCGGGTCGGCTTATACTCGAGTATATACGGTATATATGTTCTATTTTTTTTTTTCTTCCTAAATTTTGCGATGTTAACAAATGGTTCTGACATTTATGGAAGGGGAGTTCTAGAAGGATGCATCATGAGCTGATGAAAGCAGACTCGAGCAATATATTCTGCACAAGTTGATGGTGTGGCCAAATTCCATTTTGTGAAAACAGCCTTTGATTGCCAATGACGCTATTAAATTAGAACGTATAAAAAAAGGAACATATATAAATATAGAGTAAAAGATTTAATAGTAAAACTATGTAAGTAATAATATTTCTATACATGTTGTTTGTGAACATTTTAAACATATGTAACGACACATCAGTCAGTGAAAGTGTGAGGCCACATGATATGTAGAAACACCAGAAGCTAAAAGAGTAAATGTTATTAATTAGCTAAATAGAATTAAAGTGCAAACATATAAGGGAAGTCATACATCTTCTTCAAGCATGTTGTTGTAAATTTGAAATACATTCTTTCAATACATTCATACCAGGGGTGCCCGACAGATAGACCCCCAGAGTTGCAAAACTTTGTTTAGAACGCTTTGTGATTCCTTGGGTCTGGTATGCTTTTCCTTGCATTATTTCGAACAATATAAGTGATGTGATTCCGTGTCGGAGCTGTGTTATTAGCATGTCAACTCAAATGCTTTTAAAAAGGCCTCAAGTTTCATTGGATGAATTATATCCGGTGGTTTGAAAAACACATTTTCAGTTGTAGGAACAATCCTGGCCATTACTGTGCTTTAATAATTTCAGCTTTTTAACCCACCTCTACCCACATCCAACCCTGGAGAATTCAGAGAAATGAGCAATAGCAAACACAACATGCAGTGTTAAAAATACTAATTGGTGGATTCCATGTTAGTTAGTGATGTAATGGGACTCTGCCCAATGACAGGAAGCCAATAGCAGTTCACTCCACAATAACTCCTTACGCTCTGCTGAAGACTTAGGTCTATCTTCTGTCTGTACTCCCACCTCTGATGCTCGCCTTCAAGACTTCTCAAGGGGTGCACCGTTTTTCATAAAAGCGTATCAATTAAACTGTTAATACCTCCTGACTGATTCCTCTCTTGCAACTGTCATTAGTCTAATACTATCCTTACCTTTTGTGTCCCTTTACTCTACTCCCTCTAGCATGTAAGCTCATTGAGCAAGGCCCTCAACCCCTCTGTTCCTGTGTGTCCAACTTGTCTGGTTACAACTACATGTTTGTTTGTCCACCCACTGTAAAGCGCTGCGGAATTTGTTGGCGCTGTATAAATAATAACATAATAAATAATAACTGTCTGGGAATGATAGCAGTGGTTATTCACATTCTTACCTCTCCCGATTTTCCATTTAGGAGGCCAGGTTTATTTTTCATTAGACTAGTCTCACAACCTCTTGTACATTACCCTTACTAACCAGGGCCAAGTGTTTTCTCTACCTTGCATCAGCCTTTCCTACCTTCCTCTCTTTACCATTATCTTTCTATTTTTTTTCATGGTTTCCTAATTCTCTTTTCACATTTTTTTCCCCTCTATCTCATCATCAAGTTTCCCTCATCCTCATGTAAAGTTTATGGGCCGGCTATTATACACTCAAAGTTAATGCTGAGAAACATTTTATTTTCTAGTAATGAAAGATACTATTTCAAAACCCCTGGTCTGTGGGTTTATTCACTAAACCAGAAATTATGAGGAACTGAGGAGGGAACTCAAAATTTAAATCAAAATATCCAAGATCAAAAATAATTGAGCTGGACATGTTCCCCATATGTTTAGGTCTAGAATATATAATTCCCATGCTAATCCTGTATAAGGTTATATGTCTGGGGGTGGCTTCCTGTTGTATTACATTTGGGTCTGTAGTGAGGGGGATAGGGACTTTAGTGTGCTGGGGCAAGTGGCTATGGTGGAGGTATAGGGGATGTAGAGGGGAAGTAAGGGCTGTGTGGGATTATAAGAACTGTACAAGGGGGATAAGGGCTATAGTGGAGGGGTAGAAGCTGTAGTAGGGGGGAGAGTGGCCATAGTGGGGAGATAGGAGCAGTAGTGCAGAGGACAGTGACTTTAGTGTGGGTAAACGTCCTACAATAGAGAAATTGGGGCTGTAGTAGGAGATTAGGGACTATAGTGAGGTGAAAGGGGCTGTTGTGTCATGACATGGGCTATAGTGGGGTGACAGGCTGTAGTGCAGTTACAGGGGGCTGTAGTGGGAGGATAGGGGCTATTGTTGGGTAGGTAGAGAGTATAGTGGCGAAACATCGGGCTGTAGTGTGGTGACAGGAGCTGTAGTGGGGTAATAGGGGATGTAGAGGGGGATAGGTGCTTAAGTGAGGTGGTAAGGTGTGTATTGGGGTGACAGGGTCTGTAGTGGGGTGTCAGGAGCTGTAGTGTGGGGACAGGAGCTATAGTGGGGTAAAAGGGGCTATAGTGGAGGATAGGGGCTATGGGGAGTAGGGGAGATGGTGGATGAGAGGGGCTATAGTGGGGTAAAATGGGCTGTAGTAGGGGTATTTATTAAAGTTTATTTCGCCCTCTCTGAGGCTTAACTTGGGCTATGAAATAGGGAATCCTGATCTTTGATGCTCCAGTGGAAGACGAAGCATGTCTGCACCCCTTGTAGTTGTCTCCTTCCAGCGACAAGAAATGTACCAGAGCATAGCTGTGGTAACCTGCGGTAACACTCTGATATAGTACAGACGAGGGAGATCTTTGATTCTCGCAACAGCCATGCTGCTCCTCTCCTGCTTGCCCCCTATGAGGCCAATACTTGTGGTTAATCTGCTACTGGCTGTGTGTTTCGATGTCTAAATCATGTCCAATATACTGAATTTGCCACAGGAGGACTCCAATCAAAATGTAGAAACATCTCAAAGATGATCCAGAGAAATGGGATGCATCTGAGCTAAATTTCAAGTTTTGTAGTGAAGGGTCACAATACTTATGTAAATCTAGATAAGGCAGATGTAATGTTTGCTCCGATGGATACCAGGGTTTTACTATTTCACATGAAAACCAAGAATTCTGTATTTAGCGTCTTTTATTAATTTCTATGGGAGACATTAAAACTTTTGACATCCACTGATTGTTGATCCTTAAACATTACATTTGTAGCTTGAAAAAAAGCTAGTAACCACTAACAATGGGGAGAGCCATTTTAGCGATTATGGTACTAACTTGTCACTAAGTGATTGTGACAAGTTTGGAAACAAGCCAGATGTGTTTATGAGGAAAAATACAATTAATAGTACAAATTTAAACCACCGAGTTTAAGTCAGTCCCAAAACTGAGTTCCTCCATTACGTTAGAAATAAAAATTGCTAAAAAACAAAAAACTATTCTGTCATTAAAAAACAAAAACAAACAAACAAACAAAACAAGCAGCTTTACACCTGTCAGCACATAGCTCCCCCCACAACAATTTCTTCATGGAGGCAGAGATAATAGGTGATCTAGAGGGAACATCGGACGAGGAGGATAAATGAAAACAATGCTTGGACACCTCAATTAACTGAATTGTGGAGTCCATTGCTAACTCTTTAAAGGTTTACTCCAAGCACTATAACCACTTTAGTGAATTGAAGTGGTCATGGTGTTTGGAGTGTGCATCTGGAGTGTTTAAATGTTGCATATACAAATATTAACCCTTCTGCTGCCTTCCTTAGCTGACTTGGAACAAGAGATTCAGGTATGTTATTATCCCCCTCCCCCCCCCACACACACACACATACACGCTGCCTCTACCCACAGTCTAATATCACTGACCTCCCATCCCCTTCATCGAGGCAGTGACATCAGCCGAGGAGAATTGGGCTAAAGGGAGAATGTGTCATTACTGCTGGATGGTGGGGAGATGGGTGGACCAGGCTAGGAATAGTTACTCCAATCCTTTAATACACATTTGAAAGAAAACTGAGCTTCACATGCATTTTTAACACTAGTTATAGGTGATTTCAATGTTTGATTCAGTTGTGTAAGTTCCATAAAATATATGGTTCTCCTTTAACGCTTCATATGTTAACTTCGGTATCAGAATCCCAGAGATGAATTTTGTTCATGGCTCTAATATCGTTATTTATCATCCTGTAGCTAATGTCATGGCCACACTCCCACACAGCTCTTCCCCAAAGATCTCTGCAGATTTGAGCAGTCACACTGAATTCAGGTTTGTTTCCAGAGATTCGTCACGTTTAATAATGTGGCAGGAACCTCTGGGGTCGAATATTTTATGGAGGGCTTCCTGGAACTCGGGAGTTCTGTGTCTTCCAAATGATCAGAGCTCAGCTCTTTATCACGCTCTTCAAGTCTCACTTTCCAGATGATGTGGATACGCACTGCAAGATCGAGCAACTCTGCTGTAAACCAGTTTTAATAAGGTAATGTGTCAGAAACCAGCCACTTCCCAGGGGTAAAGCACCCGCCCTTGAATAATGTTTGTCTGCAAGTGTGTGTTGGGACTGTATGTTCATTAGGCAGCCGAGCTGAACTTTCCTGCTGCTTATCATGTTGTCTAATTGCTTTGTGAATAAAACTTGGCTTCCATTTCTATTTATATCCCCGGATAACACGCAGCAGACCTGTAAATCCCTCCTATTAATCTGTGCTCAGTTTCTGATACACATGTTGCAGTTTCAATGCGCCAAACTCACTGAGACATCCCAGCCTGCCTGGGATACTTTTATACAAAGTGTATTTGTACAGTATTTATTAGGTTATTGGTCACATAAGTATTTTAAACTGAATTAAGGTTAAGTAAGAACACACAGGAAAAAAAAAAGAAATGCTAACTTTAGTTATTTTTTGAAGATACTCTACAATGAAAAAAATAAATCCCAAAATAAAACGTGAAAATTGCCCCTTAAAGGAACACTATAATCACCAAAACAACTTTAGATTAAAAGGACATTATAGTCACCAAAACAACTTTACCTTACTGAAGCAGTTTTGATGCATAGATCATGCTGCTATAATCACACTGTTCACGTATCCATTTAGGAGTTACATCACTTTGCTTATACAGCCCTAGCCACACCTCCCTGCATGTGACTTACACAGCCTTCCTAAACACTTCCTGTAACAGTCATCTCAAGTTTACACTTCTCTTATTGTAAATTCTGTTTAATTTAGAATTTCTTATTTACTGCTCTGTTAATAGCTTGCTTGACCCTGCAGAACCCTCCTTTAAGTAATTAAAGTAAAATTTACAGAGCAGGAGATAAAAACTTTTACAGTACGTTACATCTGATTGAAAATGAAACCATGTTGTTTTTAATGCAAGCTGTGTCAGTCACGGCCAAGGGAGGTGTGATTAGGGCTGTTTATAAACAGAAACAAGAGTTAATTAACCCTTAAATGGCATTGAATTCAGCAGTGAAACTTAAGCTAAAGTTCTTTTGGTGACTTTAATGTCCCTTTAATGAAGCAGTCTTTCTGTATAGATCATACCTCTGAAGTCTCACTGCTCAATTCTATTTTCAAATATATCACCTTTTGATTCTGTTTATGCAGCCCTAGCCACACCTCCCCGGCTGTAAATCACACACCTTGCATTAAAAAATGATTTAATTTTCAATCAGATGTTAACTGCTCTGTAAGTGAAACCTTAATCACACACAGAAGGTGTCTTAACGGTCTAAGAGACTATTTACAGAGCTGGAGATAAGACATTCTAAATTAAACAAACTATGAAATAAAGGCAGTTTAAACATTAAATTTCTCTTTACAGGAAGTGTTTGGAAGGCTGTTCATGTTACTTGTAGGGAGGTGTGACCAAGGCTGTATAAACAAAAGTGATGTAACCCCTAAATGGCAGATAATTGAGCAGTGAGACTGCAGGTGGCACAATCTATACACCAAAACTGCTTCATTAAACTAAAGTTGTTTTGATGGCTATAGTGTCCCTTTAAGTGAAAAAGTTTTTATTTTTATATACATGATGCCACATGAATACCTTTCAAGTTTTGCTTTTTCTAAAGCTAGTTACCCGCTTTGATCTTTCTGTTTGTGTACAGAGCTCTACAGCAATACAATTTAAAGTAATGTATGCTGGGAGTGAATTCAAATTCTCCCCAGCATGTTTATCGGGGTTGTTTGTGTTTGCTATAGTGAGAATTCAAAGTGAATTTTAACCCCTTAAGGACCAAACTTCTGGAATAAAAGGGAATCAAGGGGTTAAACGTGATGTTAAAATAGCCAAACTGGAAAATCTTTCTAAGTCAGCTCTGCTTTTAGTTTGGCTAATCTGGCCTTAATTTTTAAATTCACTTTAAGTTCACTTTGAATTTGCACTTTAGCAAATAACGCTGTACATGTTTAGTGTCAAAGATACATACATATATACGACTTTAAAAAATTAGACTGAAAAATGCATGTGTCCTTTGCGATAGGTTTTGAATAAAATTTGTGCATGTGCGATTATAGCTTACATTTTTACACGTTTAACCATCCTCACATTTGACAAATAAAACAGTATATTTGAGCCTTGTTCTATTCTGATATTCATTCTTTTACATTATATACTTTTATTTTTATCCTATTTAATTTTATAGCAAGAACACATTTACCTTCTTACCAAAATGCATTTATGCAATGAAGCCCATAAAAAAACTCTTGTACAGTACAACAAACTTGTAAATTATGAAATTTGGAGAAAAAAAACTTTGAGTTTTTTTGTTGTTGTTGTTTTGTTTCTAACTTTGATTGGCCTTATAATGAAGCGTCTTTTTTTGGTAATAAGAACAACAGCTGCAACTTCCAGGTTTTGCTAGAAAAATACCTGAAGGAATCATAAAATTAGCAATGGTGCCTAAAAGATTGCAGTTAAATTAGCATGTGTGAGAGTAAAATAAAGTTATGGATGTCGTATTATTGTAAATCCATCTTGTGGATATTGCTGGGAGAGTACACAGATGCTTATTTGGCACTGGATGAACAATGTGCAACAATGGCTGAGCCTGGAATAAAGTAATTCTGGAACCCATTAGAATTGACTATCAGAGTACAGAATAAGCTACAATGGTGAAATTTGATCAGGTATTTTTAATGCATTGTATAGATTGTTTAAAGGATCCCTGAAGGCACCCAGACCACGTCATTTCAATGAACTAGCCTGGGAGCAGTGGCCGTTTATTGTTAACCCTACAATCTAAAACATTGCATGGATACAGCAGCATTGTGATTGCAGGGTTAACACACCTCTAGTGGCTGTTTTCCTCACAGTCATGTTGAGAACCGAGTCAAATGTGGTTCTCAATCAAATGCAGCGTCTTGAGCAGTATTTGATTGGAGCAGCACAGTGATTTGTAGAGCATGCGCATTAACCTCCCAATGCTTCCTGAGAAGCATTGAATTAGTTGTGGTCATCATGACGGATGATCTCAGCCAAGTAGGCAGGTTGACAATGCAAAGATCTTGGCATCACAGGATATAAGATAAGTAAATTGCTTATTTTAACCCTTGCAGAGGGCCCCAGTAGTTTAAGTAGTTAGAAGGAAACTATAGCATTAGACATACATGTTTGTATCTTGGCACCCATAAGTGATCACCTCTTCGGTCACACTGGTGCACTTCGGCATTATTGAGTGCAAAAAAAAAAATTTCGTCCAACACACTCGGACACTATACACACAACACTCAGATTTCTGTCCATACACAACACTGAGACTTCTCAACACACAAAATTCAGCCACCACACACAGCATTCAACAGGCACACACAGGCACACTTAGCCTCCCTCACTTACAGCTCTCAGACACACACACACACACCAGTATCTCCCTCAGACATACAACACTCAACCACACACCCAACACGCACAACAACCTTAATGCAGTTCTGGTGAGTTTTGAGATTTTTGTCAACCCTTTCCAAAATGTATTGACAGAGCAATGTGGGATGGTATCCATAGACCTATATTATGAAAAACTGTAGTGGTTATGGTACTTAGATAGCCCCTTAAACACATGGACCAATCAGTTTTTGTTTAACACTTTTAATGCCACTGTAGTGTATGGTGCCTCGCTGATTTCCAATGAATTAATAGCACTCCAAGGCAATACATTATCAAAAGTTGAGTTTCAAACAAAAACTTCCACTGCTCTTTATTCGTATCCAGCCCTGAGACACATGAATCACAGGAGGTTAGTAATCATTGTAATTCCATATTTTATGAGGACTAAACCAGGCAGTTAGATAAAACCACAGCTATATTCAGCCAGCCAATAAAATTGAACGATTATACCATTACGGCTCGTAGTGCACACAGATATTCTCATTTTAATTAAAAAAATACATCATAGAGTAAAGTATGTCTAAGTACACAATATTTCTTCTATATAGACTTGAATCTATTCGAAACCGCAGAGGTCACAAGGTCATTGTTTTAATGAAAGGGTTAAGAAAGTATATTTTCAGGTATTAAAAATTAAGTTGAATTTAAACAAAAAAACTTGAGAAATAAAGATCTCATGATGTTTATTGAGGGTATTCTCAATTTGTCATAAGGGATGGTGAGTAAATGTGATTGCAGCTTTGTAACCCTCATTAAATCGGTCATCTGTCTGCCGCCTGACATTATGTAATGCGCAACAGCACTGTGGACTGTTAATGCCAATTTAAAGCAAAATGACAGCCTGAATGGTGGAAATGAATGTGTATTTCTTATCAACTAATGGAACATATTGCTGGAGTTCTCATTATTGGTGTAACATAGGCAGACGCATTGAATACATGGTCTCCGAGCAGTTAGATACAAATGGATCATTATATCCAAAAAAGCCTTCTATAAAAACAGCACAAAATTGATACAAATATGGTTTAATTGCTGCTAGGACACTGCTGGACTATGATTTGAATTATTGCTCAATTATAGTTCAGTCTGTCGACGGCTGCAAGGTTCACTGTTTTATCTGTAAAGTCTGCAGGGTTCAGCGGTCAGTCTATAGAGTGTCATAGGGTTCAGTGTCACATCTATGGAGATATATCATTGTGAGATCTACACAGTTGAATATTCAGACTATGGAGTGTTGAAGGGATCAGTGTTCAGACTATGGAGATCTACAGAGTTCAATGTTCAAACTATGGAAGTCTACAGAGTTCAATGCTCAAACTATGGAATCTACACAGTTCAATGCTCAAACTATGGAATCTACACAGTTCAATGTTCAGACTATAGAAAGCTACAGAGTTCAATGTTCAGACTATAGAGAGCTACAGAGTTCAATGTTCAGACTATAGAGAGCTACAGAGTTCAATGTTCAGGCTACAGAGCTACAGGGTTCAGGGTTCTAAATATGCAGAATTGAAGGGATCAGTGTTAAGACTATGGAGATGTACAGAGCTCAATGTTCAGGCTATG